ATGTAGTTAGAGATAGGACAAAAGGAGATGGGCTCAAGCTGTGCCAGGGATGGCTTAGATTGGATCTTAGGAGAAATTTCTTCACGGAAAGGGTAGTCAAGCATTGGAACAGGCTGCCTGAGGAAGTGGTTGAGTAGTGGAGACATGTAGATGTGGTGCTTAGGGACATGGTTTAGCGGTTGACTTGGCAGTGCTAGATTAACAGTTGGACTCAATGATCTTAAAGGTCTTTTCCAACCTAAGTGATTCTGTGATCTTTATTTTCCAGATGTTTCTGTAAACCTTTACTTCCTCAACTTGTTACCATATAGAAACTTCATTTTTACAACCCGTTTTAATACTAAACTGGAACAATTTCAGAAAACCTCATCATAATTTGCTGAAAAATATTGCTAAATCGCAAGGTGACTCTGGAGCAGGGGTAATAAATGTGTCTCCTGTAGACCACGTCCGACCTCTTAAGAAAACTAATCCCTATCCCTCACTCAGCAGCTCTTGGACACAGACGAGAAGGCTGTTTTGAGGGCAGCAGCCCAGCCCTTGCCATTATCTTTCCCCAGAGACCTTGTAAGCTTATCCCATAAGTGATGTGTGGTTTCATATGTTGGCCTTGGGAGAGAAGGCAGAGAGCTGCAGTGTACGTTCATCAGGTATCTACAGGAAAGACGATGTGGCCACCACTGCAGACATTTGCGTGCATCTGTATCAGAAGACTGAAAGGCAAATAGAATAAAATCGCTCTGCATGAAGGCAATGCAACAAGAAACCATCTCTTTCAGGTCTCTGAAACAGCTTTTTACATACAGCCAGTGTCTACGCAACCCAAAACCCCTAAATGGCATCCAATCTCCTGATAATTTTTTATTCTTCAGAAATGCAAAAGCAAGATTATTTTATGCTTTTACAGTGATAGTGTTAACAACTGGGGTTATTTTGTATTTTAATTTTTTGATGCCAGCAGGAGACTTCAGAGATCAAAATACCGATTGATGCAGGAAAACCCCAGTCCTTTTGAAATTATTTTAGGTCTCTGTCAGCTGTCCAATATATACGGATTTTTCTACCTTTCATTTTTCTATCATACAGTCAGAGGTCTTCAAAAAACCCAATCCTGCCCTCCGCTACTCCCCAAACCACCCACCATGAAGCTTACCTTACACAGCCCATTGCTTTATTGGCTGCACGCATCAAATACTGCTTTTAGTGTGACCTTCCATGAATTTTTATGTACTTTATAGCCAGAAAGGTATTTGACATTTTTAGTGAGAGTAGAATTGTGTGGTGAGAAGATAAGCAATTTCTGTTGACTGAAACAAAAAGTTTCTTTTTTACAGGTGGCTGGATATTACTTTTAACAATTGTTGAATAGTGTGACATTAATGTTACGTTGTTGGATTACATCGCCTCATTACTCTTGCAATGCTTGTAAAGGAGGTTACATGCATTAATAATTAGTGTAATGAAAAACTTGAGGTGTTTAGGAGGGGTGTTCAGTAAGAGGACAGTGTGTGGCACCTTGCATGGGAGAAGTCGGGTATGTGATAATGATGTAAAAACAGGTGGGACCTTGGGTCTGGTCTTTGAAGGACAGAAAGGCAAATTGAAAAGCAAATTTGTTTCCTTAAGCTAGCTTGAGGCTCTGCCTCTAAGTGTTGCCTGGAGCCTTCATTGACCACATCTAGCCTGTAATATCTATAATTAAATATAAATGCATTGAACTATCACTCTTATATGTACTTAAGCTAGTTTGGGTAAAAGAAAATCTTTACGAATCTCTTTGAAAGATAGTATAATTCTAGACATTGATCATAGAATCACAGACTCATGTAGGTTGGAAAAGACCTTTAAGATCATCCAGTCCAACCATTAACCTAACATTACCAAGTCCACCACTAAACCAATTCAGGGGAGAGTAGCAACCCCATGCTTCCTGGCTTGGTGGCTGGATTATATTTAATGAAAGTAAAAACTAGGAATCATTCAGGTTGGAAAGGACCTCTAAGATCATCAGTCCAACCATCAACCCAACACCCCCATGCCCAATAAACCATGTCCCAAAGTGCCACGTCTGCCCATTTTTTGAACACTTCCAGGGATGGGGACTCCACCACCTCTCTGGGCAGCCTGTTCCAATGCTTGACAATTCTTTCCCTGAAGAAATTTTTCCTAAAATCCAATTTAAACCTCCCCTGATGCAACTTGAGCCCATTTCCTCTCATCCTGTCGCTAGTTACTTGATAATTCGCATTTGTTTTGTTAAGTAGATCCTTTCTGCTTAACATAGATCCTTTCCCCCCAATTTTTTTTTTTTGAAGCTGATAGGATGTTTGGAGAATTGCTGAACATTTTACTAATTGTTGTGGGTTAACCACGGTCAGCCCCACGCAGCCACTCGCTCACTCCCCTCCGGCAGGGTGGGGGAGAGAAATGGAAGGGTAGAAGTGCGAAAACTTGTGGGTTGAGATAAAGCCAGTTTATTTGGTAAAGCAAAACAAGGAATTCCTTCGCTCCTTCCCATCGGCAGGCAGGTGTTCAGCCATCTCCAGGAAAGCAGGGCTCCATCACATGTAGCGGTGACTTGGGAGGACAGACACCATAGCTCCGTATGTCCCTCTTTCCTCCTTCTTCCCCCATCTTTTATTGCTGAGCACGACGTTGTATGGTGTGGGACACCCCTTGGGGCGGTTGGGGTCACCTGTCCCCACTGTGTCCCCTCCCAACCTCTTGTGCACCCCCAACCTGCTCGCAGAAGAGGCCTTGCCAGGGTCTGAGCACTGCTCAGCAATAGCTAAACCATCCCTGTGTTATTAACACAGTTGCGGTCACAAATCCAGAACATAGCACCATACCAGCTACTACACAGAAAATTAACGCACTCCCAGCCAAAACCAGTACAGTAATTTTTCTGCTATTCCTTTGAATATTATTGTTTGACATTAAAATGTGTGTCGTAACGCTGGTTGGGTTGTATGGAAAACAGATGGAATTATTTTCGCTCCTTGACTAGCTCGCTATGCATTTTAAGCCTCTAAGTTTTCTTTGTGAATGACGCTGCTTTCTGATATAACCCTATTTGTTGGAAAGCTCTCGAAATAGTTTAAGAAAAATGAGCTCTTAAAATAATGCTTATCAAATTGTTCTTGTTACTGTTGTGTTGTTGTGTTTTACATGGTAGCTTTTGTCCTATGTTTTAAATTTTAGAGAAGGCAAGATTAATCATTTTTTTGTATCACCTTCAGTAGATTGCCTTTTGATTTTTCCCAATTGTATTCTAATTATTTCAACTACTTACCTCATCCAAAGCTTTCAGAACTTTTATGTTTAATTTGTGAGTTATCGTTGAATTTGAATAGTTAAACGGCAGCAGAAAGAAAGAAATACGATTTTATGTTCTGATCAGCTTTAAAAGAAAGGCATGAATAATTGACCAGGAGTGACTTGGAGACCGCGTTGTTCCATATAAAATGTAATAAAGAGTAGTAAAATGATGCTGATAGTAGTATTTGGATGCAAAAACACATTAATGTTTTGTTTCCTGCATGCTTTTTTTCAGTGTGTGGACCAGTTGACAAGGATCCAAGCTGAATTACAAGAGACAGTAAAAGATTTAGCTAAAGGCAAAAAGAAATATTTTGAGACTGAACAGATGGCTCAGGCAGTGCGGGAGAAAGCTGATATTGAGGCCAAGTATGTTTTTATAATAGCATATGTATAAATAATTGCATGCGTAGAAAGCAGATTTGTACTTGTATTAGTTTTTACACTTGATATTATTTTAGAAGGAAGATAATTGCTTTCAATGAGCCTGTGTCATTTTTTTTTTTTCTTTTTGCTTATATACATTTTTCTAACTGTTTCAAGCATGCTACTTTACCCTGATAGTAAAGTATAAATTATTTAGGCTGGTTTCTTTAGGAAGGAAGTTAAACTAGCTGCTTTAATTTGACATTTTCAAAGGACAGTGCGTGAGCTGGCACTCTTTTATCTTAAAGGCTGCTTACTTTGTTTTCTCTCCACAGATCTCAAATTTGGTATCAGTCCATTTGGAGGGGGAGAGGGGATGGGACACTATTTTCCATTTCTGAAGATAGATTTTTGAGGCTTTAGGTTTTTATGCTCCTTGACATCCTAAAGAGGTTGATTTCCTTCCTTTCAGGAAAGCCAGTAACTCACATGTTTTCAGTTTGGAGTTTGGCCTGTCTTCTGGGAGTTTGCCTCACCCTTTTTTGCAAATATATTTATTTTTTTTGTTTTTAGAAATTACTCAGAATTGTTCTCAGGGAATGAAAAGAAATTATGGTTTCGTTAAAGAATTCTTCTGTCTTTCACTTTATGAGGGCTGGATGATGAAAAGAAGAACTGTAAGAAGATTACCTGTAATACCTGAAGAAAGTTAAAAAACCCAAACAAGCAAACAAAAAAAAAAGCCAAGCAAAAACTTATGCTTGGGAATTTTGGGACAGATTCATACTGCAGTATTGTTCAGATTAAAATAGCTATTTACTTGATTTTGTTTTCATATTTACTTTTTAAACCACGATTTTTCAGATAGCTAATAAAATACTTCTCTGATTTCTCTTTCATGAATCCAGATGGGAAAATCAGACCAGTTCTGCTTTTAAAAATATGTGTGCGTACATGGGTACTCCTCCAGCTTCCTGGAATGTAGTTACTAATGATTTTGCACTAACATTCCTTCAGATGACCAGTAGTTCAAATTTATAGCACTTTCTGTCTGGAGGGCTAACTTGAAATCCATCAAACACCAAAATAACTCGAGTTGCAGCCGCCGCCCAATTTCCCTTTCATGAAGTATTTAAATTTTGTTCCAAAATCAGGGTAAGCTGTGCAAAAGATTTCAGAACATGCAATGAAGATACTGTTGATGTAGCTCAGCATACTTTGTAATATTTTCCTTGATCGTTAGGCTTCACTTAAAACTATACAAATAAAACTTTAGGCACAAAAAGTTAATTAAATTAAAATTTTGCAGAAGTGAAGTCCAGTGGCCTGTTTATCCTGTACTTTTGTAGAAATGGTGTAAGACAGTAATGTCTTCTGTTAATTCTGTTTCAGGTCCAAACTTAGTCTTTTTCAGTCAAGAATAAGCTTGCAGAAGGCAAGTGTAAAGGTGAGTATGAGAAAAACTTAATGTTTTGCTGCTAATTTCATGAGGCATATGACCAAAATTGTCTGGAAGCTAGAGATGACTGACATTTCGGAAGGTATATTGTTAGAACAAGTAACGAGATAAGAGCAGACTCTTTTTGGCAGTCAGAGGGCAGAATTACATATGACCAAATTTACAAGAAAATTTTTTCTAGTGGGAGTTATAACTGTTCTTTGAAGACCGCGTGTGAAATTACAGCTGCATGAGAGAAAAACACATTAGGGATCCCTTTACCATTAACAAAGCTACTAAGCTATTAATCCCTTAAAGTTTTGACTGTATTGATACATACATATACATGTTAATTTACTATTAATACATGTTTGGTCATTTAACTTCTCATTAGTACCTATCTTTTAACTTCCATTTCTTCTTGTAGTTAAAAGCACGGCGATCCGAGTGTAATTCCAAGGCTATCCACGCAAGGAATGATTATCTTCTCACTTTAGCAGCTGCTAATGCGCACCAAGATCGCTATTATCAAACAGACTTAGTAAACATTATGAAGGTAAGGAAGCTAATTCGTGTATGGGTTTGGGAAGTGTGAAAATCTGGAAAGCAAAACGAGAGAAGTACAAAATCTTGGGTTGCTTTGCAACAGCAATGTTGACTTTTCCAATATGCTGCAGTAGATAGATCCTGCAGTCGTGCACTGGATACTTGCTACCAATTCAAGCCCCAAAGCTAAGCAGTTATTTTTTAATTCACTTTTTGATGAAAAACTCACTTGGATAAAGGAATCGAATTTGTACAACTAAGACCTGTATTTTCCTATTGTAGTCGACCTTAAGTAGGCTGGAGATTTTTCAGTTCTTCAGCAGCGTATTCCATAGTCCTTCTTTTGTATCCAATTATCTGATCAGAACATTGCTTTATGGTATGATTAATGACAATAGACGCATTAAATATCTTGGTTTCAAACTATGAATTTTAGACAATAGCAAATCAGCGTTGCTGTACTCACATGTGGCAGCTTGCCAAATCAAGCCAAGAGTAGATACTTGAACTCATAGGAAATGACATACTTAAAAAGTTCAAATATGAATGCTTACAGGTTTTTTTTTTTAATATCATCCTAGATTTACTTAGATGTACACTATTCCTGTAACTTATCTGTTAGTTACAGATAAATTGTAAAATCTGTAAGATCAGCTATTTAAAGCTAATTCACACTTTATGTAGGTGCATTTCACGTATTGACATTTTCAAAGTTTATTTAAATTTGCTATCTACAAACTCTTTCCAGGAGATGCAACCAGGCATGGCAACTCAGCAGTCTGTAATTTGCATTTAAAATTGCTTTATTGAAGAACTATCACTGTATTGTCACAAATCACTGTATTATCGGCATGCTTTTGCAAACGGGGGGAAAAAAAAAATAATTGATCTGAAAAGCAGGTAGCCGAAATAGAAAATGAGAGCGCCAAGTGAGGCCTCCGAGGGATTCTTACATGTAATTCTGTTATATCTTGACTAAAGTTAACTAATCCTACGGCAAGATGTGCATGCCTCTTCGAGTAGCTCACAGTCTGTGTTAGAAATTCATTGCTGTGCCTAATACCTGTCTTCCTGGAAGGCTCAATCTGGGTGTCTGGGAGGCAGTGCAGGCCTGGTAGTCCTTGAGGCAGCCAGCCTGTCTTTCCTCTGCGTGTGTGTACGTGCGGTTGTGCTTTTCCATTAGTAAAACATGAGTATTTGTGCTGACTAAATGTTTAGTACATGGAAATGGTTATAAAGTAAGCATTTTCTTACAGTGCTGGAGATAACATTATTAATTGATGCTTACTTAAGATAATTCCATACTTACATGCATGGTTGGCTGTCATCAGTTAATGCTCTTACTTGCAAGTAGTGCCAGAAGCTAATTCAATATCTTCACAAGAAAACAAACAAAACAGTCTTTTGAAATAATAATAAAAAAAGAGCAGATAGCCCAGGTAAAACGATGGCTGGCTCTCGTGGGTTGTGGCTGCTCTCGTCTCAGGGCATTGTAACATAAACCCCGCAAAGGGATTATCGTTTCCTCTGGCTACATTTTGTGAGCATTACAAGCTACGCACAGAGCGAGCTCGGCAGGATCTTCCATCTCTTTGAGTTTCTATAAATGTTTCTGTCTTTTGGATGGTGCAGGCTTTCTGTACTGTGACGTTTAGCAACCTGCGGATACCCCAGGAATGGGTTTTTTTTTTTAGAAGTTGCAGTAAAACATCAAACTAAAAACCGCTGAATCATTTTTGAAAGACTGAAAAATACAATAATGGAAAACAGAGTCCTGCCGGTGCCGTTCCTCTGCGTGTGTGCCGTTCTTCATAGATGTTATGCTTGCTCGCGGTCCGGTTGTTGAAGCCGCTGCTGATCTGTGGTGGTTTCTTTACCCAGCTACTGGGCTCCCTTTCATCCAGTCCTTTCTTTTGTAGAACTCGTTTTGAAGCTTTTTTCAAAGTGAACCTTTTTTTGATATGGAAATCTCTCTGTGCAACCTATTCTTCTGTATAAATAATTGTGGTTTACTGAAAACCTAAGTTGCAAGTACTTTCATCAAGCCAAAATTACTTTGGGAGGACAGGACAACATTCAGGGTTCTTTTTCTGCATCTCTCTCAGATATTTATAGTAGTTGAATCTCCTCGTCTGGTAAACAACTGTGTTCTTAATGAAGAACTGTAAATTTGGGGGGTTTGCACTGTTGTTTATGAGCAAAAAATATGTGGGAGCACACCCACGTATCCTTGCAGCAGGGTCATTCATTGGAGCAAGGGAGAGAAGTCAACGGCAAGGTCTCAAATTGAAATGGCTACTGAAGAAGAACGGGGGGAAAACCCTCAGGAAAATCAGGTGTAACGTATCACTGGGCTCCAACTGCGTTCATCCAAAAGCTCGAATGTAAATTCAAATGTGAAACTGCTTAAATATAAGCAACAGAGTGTAACCTGGTGCTAAAACCCGCCTCGGTGCCAACAGAAAGCAACAAGTGTGTCCCAACCTTTGGAAGGGGCTCCAGGAAGGGGCCCTGTGAGTTCCAGACGAGGAAATCCGACTTCCCTACCAGGCAGGCTGTTAAAACAAGTGCAGTGATGAATGGAATCGGTTCACAGGCGGATAGATACGATACGGTGGGAACAATCAACGTGATTTTTTGAAGAGGGAAAGCATCCTGCAAAAAGATCTTTAAGGAGTTGGTAAGCCTGGGGATAAGGGTGATTCATCTGATTTAATGTCTCGAATTTGCCAGGAGCTCTCAACAGACTTCCCACTCAGTCCCTGCTTACGTAAAAGAACGACGTTGTTACAGGTAGGGCGGTGAGGGTTTTCTCATAGATTAATAACTGATGAAGAGATACAGAAAGATGTGGGATTAAAGTAAATACTTGGGTTTTATAAGGGAAGGAGATTTGCTGGCAAGGCCCTGGTTTCTCTCTCACCTGCCTCCTCCTCCTGAAATGCGTGTGGGAGCCATGCTGTTTAACATACTGAGAAAATTATTATTTTATTTAGCATAATGATTTAACGTAAACAATATGGAGAAGGAGCTGAAGAGAGAGGTGATGATTTGAAGGTGAGGAATCATTCAGTATGAGCAAATGTAACGCTTACTACCAAGACGTGTCGTAAGATCTTGACAGTTTTGGTTGACTGGGCAAGAAAATAGCACATGAAATTCATGTGAAAAAGAGAAAAGCAGTCAGTTAGAGAGAAAATCGCTGCCTACAGAATAAAGAATAGCCATTATCATTTAAGAAGGAGACACTAGAACTGGAAAATGGAGTGAAGGATAAAGAAATGGAGAATTTGTCTATTACACGTTTCTAATCCTTCCCCTAGGTAACATCACCTGTGAAGGAGGTCTTTTGAAAGGGTATTAAAACGCTTTCTGGGCAGCGCAGTTCCTGTTTTAATAGGTTGAGTGGCTGTGTGACCTAATATTTGTTACATGCTTTAATACAGTTGTAGTGTCTAAACTAAACACGTTCATTTATGTGTTGAGATTAACATTCTAAAAATGCAGCTTTTATCTTCATATTAGTAAGTCCTTAGGTGTTCCCGTAGTGGTGGCCACCCTGCTATCTGTAAGTATTTCTCTATTTAGCTGTGATTGAGCTGATGCACCGTCTTCTGTTTGAACTCTGCAGGGCTGTCCGCATTTCTAAATCACATCAAGTTTCTCCTTAAACTGTTCAGGTTTTATCTGCCTTGCAGCACTTTTGGAGTTACTGCCTTCTTGCAGATACTCAGCTTTTTTTCTTGGTTCTCTCTTGACCAAGATGCTTAAAGACAGAACTAAGCATTCCTGAAAAATTCACTTCTCATACCAGCTGTCCCGTTGGAAGGCAGACTGGAAGACTGACTTCTGTAAGGAGCAAGTTGGGGTGTTGAGTGGAATCAGTAGCATCTCGAAGATCATAGGGCTTATGCAGCCATTTAGTATCTACTCTTTCAGGATGAGTACTACAAATTGGTGATTATGTCCGCTCCGTAGACCAGGTGAGATTCCTGTAACCCACAGCACCTATACTGAGAGATACGACTGGAGTACCAGTTTCATTAGTTTGTTTGAAATCAGGTTTATGACCTTGCCTTTTCGTCAGGGCAACTATTTTTCTCTGTGGCAGAGATGTAAATTTTAAATTATTTTCAGGCTGGTTTTCAGAGTTATTCAGTAACCTGTAGATAAATCCTTTATCTAAATAATACTTCAGAATGTTACTTGTTTAATATAGTAACCTTCAGCCTTGGAAAAAAACCTACCCCACCTCCCCTGTCTTCAAAATCTCCCTACTCCTCAGTTTAAGCATCAGTTTTGCAATACAGCCATTAGAAATCATGTGGAAAGTGGAAAAAAAGTAATTTTGTTCTGTTTTTAAAGACAGATCTTATATATCCTTTGTCTAGAACAGTTGTTTTAACTGGCATTTAGGTATAAAATGATGGCTGCTTGGTACTGCTCCTTTGGAGCGCATCAGTATGGATTTCATTAAAGCATTGAAGCTTTCCATCTTTTTCTAGTTGTGGTACCCAAAGTTGATAAAAACTTCAGAAATGGAAAAAGCTGTGAAGAAATTTCAGCTGCTATATGGTTATATTACTGTGTAAGAAAGTAAAACTTGTGCTTATTTGCAAATGTTTGAGAGACTGTTTCTGTTTGCGTCCATCATAAACGATTTCTTCGTAGGTTTTAGTTTTAATTGGGTTATCGTTTCCAGAATGAGACTTGTAGTGTGTGGGTTTTGTTGGTGAGAGTCGTCGGCCTCTGGCTCGTTTGAAGCCGGGGTTGGCTTGGCTGGAACACAGCCTCTGGCCCTGAAATGCTGCCTGCTGCTGGCTTTGGGTTTGAGCTGTAGCGTAGCGCTCTCTGAAACCATCGCTTTAGACCATCTGCGTGTGCAGACAGCTCTCGCTTTCCTAGAAAACTTGGAACTTTCCCAACCTTGACGTCAACTTGTATACATTGATAAATAGTAGATTAAAATAAATAAGCTGATTTGGCTGTCTTTTGCTCTCTGTTTTCTTCTTGTATTAAATTACCTTT